TTTAAGGTTTTGAGGTGTAATTTCTAACCATATGAATAAACCTTGATTTATATTGGATCTTGATTCAATGTTAGAAAATGTGTAAATAAATGATTATGATATTATTATTTGTATTTGTATTTTTATTTATACAATATTTAACTCGAATAAACCCAATCCAAATATTTTATGGTTGGGTTGAGTTGAGTTCATTACTTAATAAGAGTTGTTTTAGTTGAATAAACTTATTACCCAAATAATTAGGTGGGTCGTCTAAAAAATACTTTCAATCCAATCCAACTCATCAACAATTTATTGTTTTTGAGCCAAAGAGAGCCTAGTTTAGTGGTAATTGACATATACCTCCAATCGGTTGGAGGTTGTGAGTTTGAATCCCCTCCCCAACATGTTGTACTAAAAAAACAATTTATTGTTTTTGAAGAAAAGAAAAATATATCATCTTTCTTCATTTTTGTATTTCTCTTTTTTATTTATAAAAAATATAGCAGTGATTAGCATGAAATTGATGTTGGTCAACATGTAACTAAATATTTTTCTTTATTTAATATTATGTCAGTATATCGACGATTTTCCGTGCCACCCTCATTTATTAGGACTAGTTAATATCACATGCATTGCATGTGGTTATAAACATTTTAATACAACAGAACTTTTAAATGCACTAATATTTTGTTTCAAATAAAATATATTTAATATAATATTTCTACCAATCTAACCTATAGAATAACAACCCAACGGAACTTTTAAATGGTACTAATATTTTGTTTCAAATAAAATATATTATTCGTTATCAATTTTTCTTTTTTAAGAAAACAACAATAATCTTTTTGTGTGTTTTCTTAAATTATTTACTCATTCTTTTATCTTTTGTATATTATGTAATAAGAATGAACCAAAATTAAAGAATTGAAATTTGAGAGAGAAACTGAATACTATGTATGTCATGAAATCATGGAAAAAATGTGGAATAAAGAATCACATGACCAAGAAAAATAAAATAAGAACAACAACAATAAAAAATTCATATTAAGATAAATAAGAAAACTAATACTTAAATATAACATAAATATATTTTAAAACGTGAAAAGAACCTTAACTAAATATTAAATCAAACTTGAAAATAACATTAACTAAATATTAAAACACGAAGGTATCATGAATATATAACTTAAAAGTAATCCACATAAAAATATTAAAATAATCTAAAAGAAATAAAAGTTGAAGATAATACGAATACATGTTTTTGTTACTCAACCTCTTAATTGATTAAATATGTTTCTGGAATCTCAATTTTTTTTTTTTTGAGATGGTTCAGTTTTCACTCACAAAAATAAGAAAAATCTTCATTAATATTTTGGAAATGAGTTTTAGGTCATAAAAGAAAAAGACATAATTTTTCATTTTATAGATTATTTCATATGACACCTATACGTGGATAGATGCATCACTTCATCAAATAGTTGTAATTTTCATTGGATTAACTTCTCTTAACACACCTCTTTACTCGAACAGTTACAACTTGTTTCATCGAATGGTCACAATTTTTTGGATTTATTATCTCAACAGACACTTTACCTGGAACAGTCGCGTATCTCCTAAAAATTTGAAGGACAAAATGGGGAGGCAACTCTCCTATCTATACACACAATTTGTCGAGGTTAATTTTATTTTATTTTTAGGACAAATTAATTCACGATATCCCAAACATGCTCAGACACTCTCCTTCACACAAATTTTCAAAATTGAAACCTTCTAAACTTGAACGAAAAATATAGATCATTTTCTTTAATTTAAAGTTTTCTAAATTCTCCGCTTAAAACTTGAGGATTAACATTATATCAGGTTTAAGAGACATGTATTATGTCATATGCTTTAATGTAATCCAAGCAAATCTCCATATTTGAGATGCTTTTTGCCTTGGGGGTGTTGGAATTGGAATTAGGTAATGTGTCAATCAAATAATATATGAAGGATTCCAATTTTCCAAAATAAAAAATAGAAAAAATATCAAAGTCTTGTGTTATTTTTAAGCATCTCCTTAGGACCATTCATTTCCTTCATTAAACAGTGATTTCTATTTCACCTAAGCTTAGGCACCATATCAAGGAATAGTAACCTACCTTCATCATTCAATTTAATCATGCACTAAATATATATCTATCTATATATATATATGTATGTCAACTTTATATACAATCTTGGGAAATCTCGTGTTGCACCCCTTTCTATTTCGAGCTTGTTCCTCTACTTTCGAAACCAAAATGATGTTCGTTTTCTGATTTGTTTGCTTGCAAACCAAGCGGTTAATGCAAATTTGTCGCTATGTTGTGACAGCGTAACCCAATTCTGTTGGGTGGAGTAATGCAACTAGGAATGATGGTCTATCAATTTGTAGCCCAAGTGGTATTCTTTGAGGAACACTAATTTTATTTTATGTTAAAAAAAGCTATTTAATTTGATTTTTTAATTAATAATTGACATATATTTAGATATTTAATTATAAGTAAACGATAAAAAAAAAGTGGCTATTTTAAGTTTTTCTTCTTCTTTCAAGTGAGGAAGACTGATGTGGTTTTTATGTCAAGTTTGGGACTAAAAAGAAATATTTAAAAATTTTGGGATCAAAGTGAAACAAACATGGAAAACTTAGCGAGTTAATTTAAGATTTAGATAAATAAAAATTTAATTGGAGTTTTATAATAGTTTTGATGAAGGTTTATTTTTAAACCTACGATTTTGTTGAATAAGAGTACGGAATTATCTTCTTAAAAGACATTTTAAAAAGTATTACATTTAGCCGATCAAGACACGGACTACCATTTA